TTGCCCTGTTCTGACTTTTTTTCTAGTTCCCTGTCTAGAATTTGTAATGCTAATTACTCTTGCCTTTACTTCTCCTTCACATCTTCTAGTCAGGATTCAAGGACTTTCTTTTCCCCCTAGAGATAAAAGTTATGGAGACCCACTGAAGGGGTACTCCAATTGCCTCTCCCTGCATCCCTGTTTAGCATGGAAGAAGCCAGAGTGGTTTGTACCCCAATTCTAATACCCAATTGGCAAGTTGGGTAACCTCTTCAGAGGATGGTGTGATAAGAATAGGAAGTAGGAATTGGCTAGGCAGTTAGGGTACAAAGACCCCAAAGAAAAGTATCCAGTTTCTTGGATAAAATAATGTCCTTGGGCCTCTTAGCAACCTACTCTGTTCCAACACACACACACATACACACACACACACACACACACAAATAAATAAAATGAATAAATAATAAATAAATAATAAATGCAAGTAAAACATACAGAACTCCTTACTTTCTCTCCCTAGCTTGCCCCTGCTTGAGGTCTTTATTGAAACAGATGTCACCATCTATACTTTCAACCTCCCTCACATTTACGGCTTCCTTCACCTTTTGGCTGCTTGCTCTGTGCTCCCACAAGCATCCAAATATATTCTACTCTAGGGAGATGCTGTCATTTTCTTTGGGCAGGAAAAGTCAGGGATATCATTTCATACACTGCATGAAGGGAACTTCACCTCTTCAGCACAACTGGTGTCTAGCATAGAACTTCCAGCCCTTTGCCTCCTTTATCTTTTTTTTTTTTTTTTTTACTTATTGTTTTTATTTTATGTTTGAGTGTATTGTTTACATGTATGTAAGTACACCTGTGTTTTGCAATGCCTGTGGAGGTCAGAAGAGGGTATCAGATCCCCCTGGAACTGGAGTCATAGACGGTTATTATTCATGATGTGGTGCCGGCAATTGAACCCAGGTCCTCTGCAAGAGTAGCCAGTGCTCTTAACCACTGGGATATCTCTCCAGCCCCATTGAAACAGGGGAGAAACAGCATCCCCTAGAGGGTTCTTAGTCTCATTCGTAAAAGAATTTGAGAATAGACCTTATCGGAAGCTTTAAGACAATTTTATCAGAGTTTTAAGGAAAATCCTCAGGACAGGCGAGCTGGTAATCTCACTAGCTGCCTTGAGGAGGAGAATGGAGGGGAGAAGGAAAGAAAGCCATGAAGCCATGCAGGTTTGGAGCCTGCTGGAGGTCAGACACGTGACTAACTGGCAGCCATGGGGCCGGAAGAAGGAAGATTTAGAGAAAAAGTAAAGAAATACAAGATGCCAGGGCAGCCCAAAGCATTAAAGAAAGCATGTTTATAAAAGGGATATGAAGAAGAAAAGGAGAGATCGCATTTTCCTGAATTCCTTAGAAAAACGGGCAGACTCACAGAGACTTACATGCTGTGGCCGGGTCCAAAAGCATTGCACCAGGAGGCAGGATTTCAAGCAGTAAAACTTTACTATCCCATTAACACACTAGGTATCCAGCATCTATTTAGCATGACTTACGGTGAACCTGCCTTCCTAGGGTGGTCCTATGACCAGATGATTGAGCAGTGAAACTGGAAAGGAGGGTCTTCCAGTAGATAGACTAGAGATTTCATAGTCTTGACCAGTTAATCTTCTGGGACTATTTGCTATTCCAACATCATGAGCCCATTCTTATTCTTTTCTTAAAAATATATTTTACTGAATTTTTGTACACTTTATACAATGCATCTTAGTCATATTTAGACACACACACCCCACAGCCCTTCTATAGGGTTTTGTGCATTCTATCATATATGTTAAGGCCTAGTGAGTCAAGTTTGTGTTCCCAGATGTCTCTCGGTGTCAATTCATCCACTACAGCCTGGTCAGCCTATGTAGAGTCACTCCCTTAAAGAAGACCAACTTTGCCTCACCTGGCAGTGCTCAGTTGTCAATAGTTTCTCGGCTAAGGATAGGGCTTCTTATCCATCTCTCATGTGTTTGACCAGTTGTGGAACTCAGTAAATAATATCCATTTTTTTAAATATGAGTGTATATATACAGCTGAAGGTTATATCACAAGAAACACAGTGCTAGACAGGAGAAACCTCCCTTCAAGTTGTTGGTCAGGAGACTCCCAAAATAACCCAGGCCATTACCACAGCCTTTGATTTCCTCCCAGATCTTGAAGGCAAGACCATATTGCTGAAGACAGGACATACTTTGGACATAAAATTTGGAGCAATGGAGCTGGAACTGACCTGAAAGCCTCGTCCCTGAAGACTAACTCTCATAGTATCAGATGGTACTATGCAAGCTGCTAAGGGAGAAAATCAATCAATGGTCCAAACCCAGCTGTAAAGTCTAATAATCACAATAACCAACCCAAAAAACTATCTCTATTGGTACAGTAGTGGGAATTTTATCTTAGGGACAATCAACAGTTATCCAATTGTACTTAAAGCCCACTCAGTGGGACGGTATGGTAAACATAGACAAATACACATGGCTGGTGACATCATAGATCCTAGAGAAAAACCTATGTCTGTGTCTGTCACATTCCTGGATAAATGCAATTTCTTACTATATGCTTATTATGTACAAGTATATCTTTATTTTTTAAAGATATACTTGTCTGTAAAGATAAGTATATAAGTATAAGATATCTTTACAGACAAGTATATCTGTCATCAACCATTCTTACTCTTTTATTAAGAAGACTAGGAGCTCTGAGAGGGGACTCTACTTTCCCCAGGGACACATGATACCCCCAAATGGGTCATCCAAATTTCCAGTGACCACAAGGACATAGACATCCTCAGCTTCCACCCTTGCTGAGAATCTGCCTCCTGGCCTTTTCCATGAGTGTGCACGAGTTGTGTCAATATCTGCCTAACCTTAAGAAGAGAACTGAAGCCAGTCTCTGGGTAGGAATGGGGACAAGTAGAGGACAAGAGGGAGCCAGTCACTGGCCACTTTCTACGACTTTATATTTTAATTCACACAGACCCTAAAGAAATCCCTCGGCCACAAACACAGCCTGAGCTGGTCCCTCCAGGTTCACTTTCTTCTGTAAGCCCCCTCAGCTCCTGAAGAGATAGATAGCTTCTTTCTTCCTCTGTGGTCTTTGGGGGACAGTTTCCTGTTTCCAGTGCTCGCCAACAAGAATGCTCGCCCTCCATTTCATTCTCCAGATGACACCACCCCAGTTGTCTGTTTCCTGTCAGTGTTCTATCCTACTAACATTGTTTCTTTCAGCTAAGTCTACACTCTTCAGTCATTCAGGGATGTTTCCCCTCTAAAGTGCAAGGACCTCTTTCAGTAAGGAGTATGTTCTATTTGTGTATCAACAGCCCTTTCCTTTACAGTCCCCCTTGGTTTATTTTCTCTAGGCTTCACTATAACTTTGCTGCCCTCTCTTCACCTCTGCCCTTTCGCTTTACTTCTAGACGGACTGAATCAGCTGTACACGGTAATAGAGAGGATTAAGAAGTCTCAGCTCAGGGCCATTCACTTAGTCATATTAAAATATATCGATGGTAAGTCATACCTCAGGCATGAAAGAAGGAATGCAAATAGAAAGAGGCACTGTTTCAAACCTACTTCACCAAGAGTATCTGCTTTGCCTGCTGTCAGTTTTCCTGAGGCCAATAAACAAATCCTACTGTTTTCCATGCTCAAAGGTCCAGATGGACATGCAAAACCAGAACCGCCCTGGCTGGAAAACTGAAACTCTACCTGGTTTGCTTTCCTGGTGCTCCACTGTGGCCCTCTGGGGAGGCTGTTGTATGGGAACACCTGGGTTTATTAAAGTTTTTGCTTCAGTCAGGAGGTGGAATCATTTTTCTACCCTTATCATGCGCTTTCATGTGTTTCCAAGAGATGCTCTAAAGCAACGACATCCTTCCAAGTTTCCTGCCAGAGCTTATTGTATACCTACAACAAGCTGGTCCATATTTAGAACTTTTGAAAAGGAAAAATCTGGGTTCAAGAGGTACTCTTCCCTCTTCGGCCCGGTGAAATCTGAGTGTTAAATTAGTTAATCAGAGAAGAGGCGTCATGTTGACTCTGACTCCTGTCTTAACTGTGTCCTATGAAGCCAAGATTGTGTTCCTGTTCTTTTCTATCCTGGAGTTTGCAGTGGGGATCCTGGTCAATGCATTCATTGTCTTGGTGAATTTGGGGGACGTGGTAAAGAGACAGCCATTGAAGAATTGTGATGCTGTGTTGCTGTGTCTCAGCGTCACTCGGCTTTTCCTGCAGGGGCTGCTGCTTTTGGATGCTATCCAGCTCACCTGCTTCCAGCAGATGAAAGACCCACTGAGCCACAACTACCAAGCCATCCTTACTCTTTGGATGATCACAAACCAAGTGAGCCTCTGGCTTGCCGCCTGCCTTAGTCTCCTCTACTGCTCCAAGATTGTCCGTTTCTCTCACACCTCCCTGCTCTGCTTGGCCAACTGGATCTCCAGAAGGATTTCCCAGATGCTTCTAGTTACTGTTCTTTTCTCCTCTATCTGTGCTGTCCTCTGTTTGTGGGACTTTTTCAGCAGATCTCACTTCACAGTTACAGCCGTGGTACCCATGAACAATAATACAGAGCTCGATTTGCGAATTTCAAAATTCAATTTCTTTTATTCATTTGTCTTCTGCAATGTGGGGTCTATCCCCCCTTTTCTATCCTTTCTGGTTTCTTCTGGAATGCTGGTTGTCTCCTTAGGAAGTCATATGAAGAACATGAAGTCCCAAACCAGAGACTGTCGTGACCCCAGCCTGGAGGCCCACATCAGAGCCATTGTATTTCTGGTCTCCTTTCTCTGTTTCTATGTGGTATCATTCTGTGCTGCCTTAATCTCCATGCCCTTACTGGTGCTTTGGCATAATAAGGGAGGAGTGATGGCTTGTATAGGGATGATGGCAGCTTGCCCTTCTGGACATGCAGCCATCCTGATATCAGGTAATGCCAAGCTGAGGAGAGCAGTAAAGGCTATGCTATTATGGGTTCAAAGCAGTTGGAAGGTAAGAAGTGTTCACGAGACAGTTCTCAGGATACTGATAAGACATGAAAGGGGCTCCTCACAAATACACCCCTAATTCTTCATGAAGACTTCCAGTTTCTTTTGTAAAACAATTGCTTGATATCCACAGACTCACTTGACTTCTTTCTGCTTGACATTAATAGACTCACTAATAGTAAAATAATAAAATCATTGAATCACTACGTGGTCTAAGCAAATGCAATTGTGCTGATACAGATTGGTTTGGCAAAATGAGCAAAATAAAAAGATAAGGTCTTGAATGTAAATCCTTTCTACAGTATAGCTGTTATTGATTAGTATGAACCAGACCATAGGAAGCCACCTCTTCTGGAAGAATGTCTAACCTCAAGATAACATTGCTTACTTTTAACATGACTGGTAACAAGCCAGTTATGAAAATAGTCACTATTATGGCAATCATGCAGTGTTCTTCAAACTCCAATGGTATCAACGAATAGGAGTCATTTTTCCTGAAAAGATATTGGATCCAAATTGTACTTCTACCTGTTTTACAGTGAAAGAAGAGGTAAGCAGAGATTTCTCTTAGGTGTCCTGGATAGCAGAACCTCAACTGCACTTCCTGAATCTGCCCAGTTTGCCTATGAAAACAGTGCTTTGTTGCCAAACACTGGTCTATGTATGTGAGCAATCTTCCAGGAGGGCCTAGCAGTGAGGCAGGTTTGTAGAGATTCAGCACTCTTTGCATAGGAACCTAACCAGGAAGTATTTCTGAAAATCAGATCCAAAAAGACTCAGGAGAGAAAACTATGTACCAGTAACTGAAGTCCTTCAAAGTCATCAAAGTCAGCAGGTCTCCCACCAAGGATCTTACTTAGGGTGTGGATGTGGCTAAAGAGCTGTTTTCTGTTCTTAAGTACTTGTTCTTGATAGATCCAACTCTTCCCAGTTTTCCCAGGCAAATAAGCCTTTCCTTCAGCCCAGTGGCTACAAAACTTTCAACTGGTCTCACTTCTTTTCCTTGGTGGACACGAAATTATTTTAACTTTCTCTCAAAATCAATGACCTTCACTCTTGGTTACAAGTATAATTACTTAAGAAGCTTATAGAAAAATCTCATTGCTATACTCCAAGTCAATAAAATCAAATATAAGGAGGTGGCCTCTAGATATCTTTTTAGAGCTCCTTGATGATCCAGGATACAGCTAATTCCAAGAACGCTATTCTAGGTGCCCTATTATTTGAAATGTATGCTGTGGAACCACACATACAACTATATCATCACCTTGCAATTCCATTTTTCCTTAGAGTACATGGAGGAATATTATCATAAAGGAAAAGTGTAGAGGCTCTCTCTCCTTATTTTTCATTCTCTTTTGTATGAGCACTCTCTGAATAGGTCTCTTTTATATCTTACTGCTCTCCAAGATTCTTTTTCTCTCCATAAATTTTTAAAGGTTTTTTTAGATTTTTATTTATTATTCTTATTTTATGTGTATGAGTGTATTTCCTGGATGTGTGTAAGTGTACCGGTGCCGTGCAGTGTTCACAGAGGTCAGAAGAAGGTGTCGGATCCCCTGGAACTGGAGTTACAGATGGTTGTTAGCACACCATGTGGGTGCTGGGAATCGAACCCAGGTCCTCTGCAAGAGCAGTCAGTGCTCTTAACTGCTGAGTCATCTCTCCAGCCCCTCTCCATGAATTTTTAAGGACTATCTTTTGGAGCAGTTTAAGGCCACACAAAAATATATAGTTGAACTCATACAGTATGTAGCCTTTTGAAATTGAGGTCTGTCACCCATCAGTCTACATTTAAGGCTTCTGTGTATCTTATCCTGACTTGTTAGCTAATTTATTTTTGTGTTAAATAATATTCTATTGTTGGGGTTGGAGAGATTGCTCAGTGGTGAAGAGCACTGACTGCTCCTGCCTGGGACCCCAGTTCAATTCCCAGAACCCACATGATGGCTAATAACCATCTGTAACTCCGGTTCCAGGGGATCCAATACCCTCTTCTGACCTCTGCAAGCATTGTGTCACAGGGGTATACTTACAGCAGACGATACATTCATACACAGGACAGTTTGTAGCTGCCATGTAGGTGCTGGGAATCGAACGGGGACCTCTGCAAGAGCAGTCAGTGCTCTTAACCACTGAGCCATCTCTCCAGCCCCCATTCTCTTTGTCTCAAAAAGACCAAAAAAAAAAAAAATCTGTTGTTTATTTGAACCATACTTTAATGCATTTGCTCACTGAAGAGCATCTTTGCTGTTTCCAAGGCTGTCGAGCAATAATTCTTTTATAAACATCTATATGCAGATTTTTCTGTGGGCATGAGTTTCTAACTCCTTTGGATAAATTCCAAGAAAATCAAATGCTGGCTCACATAGTAAGGCTATACTTAGTTTTGGAAGAAACCACCAAATTGGCTTTCAAAGCAACTCATCTTGCATTCCCATCAGCAGTGGATGAGAGTTCCCACTGTTCCATCTTCACAGGCATTTGGTGTTGTCAGTGTTCTGGACGTGGGCCATTCTAATGCTATGCAGCAGCATCTTATTCTTTTCAATGTTATTTCCCTAAAAACATATGATGTGGAGTATCTTCTCATAGGATTGTTTCTGTGAATGCATTTTAAACATTCACCCATATTTACTTTATGAATCCCAGCTTCTTTATCCACTAATGATTGCTAATAAGCTGTACTGTTTACAGTTTGGGGTTATGAGGAATAATGTGTCTATAAATATTCTTGAATCCATCCTTTAGAGGACACAAGTTTCATGTCTCTTAGGTAAATACCTAGGAATGAAGTTGCTATGTTAAAAAGTTGATGCACACTCAACTTCACAAGAAACTGCTAGCATTTCCAAAGTGAGCCTAACATTTTATGCTCCCACCACGATGTAAAGAAGTCATTTCATAGTCTCACCAACAGCCATTTACTACTGTTTGTCTTACTTTTGTCCACTGAAGTGGAAGGTAAATGGGTTTAATTTATCTTTCTCTGATAACTGTTGGTATGAAGCTCATTTTCATGTATTTCTTAATGAGCTTCTTATACATTTTCTACTATAGACTATTTATCCATATTTTTATACTGAGCTGTCTTTTTATCACTGATTTTTAGAACATTAGCAATTTGGAAGGTTTGTGTATATGTATTTTATGTGTAGCTTTAGTTTTACAACTCATATACATACAATGGATAGTTTTATAGAGCTTTTTGTTACTGATTTGTATTTTATATCCATGTGTAAAATATACACATACTGCACATTTTATGTGTGTGAATATACATTCCAGACACCATTCTTCTTTCTGATAATGACTATTTTAACCCAAACTATGGTTTAGCTTATCAATTTTTTAATAGTATACTGATGAGCAGGAAGTCTGAATTTTAATAAAATTCTATTTGTCATTTTATTGTTAATATTTGTGCTTTCTTGCATTTCCTCTAAAACATCTACTTGCCTCTAAGATGCATAATAAATAAATAAATAAATAACTTCTATCATCTTCTCTAAAATTTTAAGAGTTTTTTTTTGTTTTTATGTTGGAACCTTAATTCATTTTTAGTTAACTTTAAAATGTGTGTAGTCATAATTTATGGAAAGCTGAAACTTTTTTGTTCATCTATCCATGTAGCTCAAAGTCATTTATCACTTTCTTCATTGAATTATCTTAATATCTTTGATGAAAATCAAATGACTACATGCATGTTGATCTCTTGCTGGTCTCTATACTGTGCTCAACCTGTTTATCTAGAGTTTAATCTATATTTCACTTTACTAATTACTGTAGATTACTAAGTTTTGAAACCAGATATTGTGAGTCTTCCAAATTTACTTTTCTAAAATTGTTTTTGCTAGTCTGACAATGATGTTTGGAACAATTTGTGTATATATAAATATATATTTATGTACACATACACACACACACACACACACACACACACACACACACCTCTTGTTGGAATTCCAGTTACTTTTGAATTGAATCTGAATGTCAACATGGAAACACAGAGGAATGTACTTGCTGGCTTGCTCCCAGGCTCCTGTTTGTATACAGCCCAGGACCACCTACCTAGGGAGGGCACTGCTTACAGTAGGCGAGGTCCTCCTACATCAATTAGCAATCAAAAAAAGCCCCATAGACAGTGCATAGGTGAATATGACGGAAAGAATTGGATTAGCCACCACACACTCTAATCAGAAAGTATGCAAATCCTGTGTCTTTGATTCACTAGCACAGTACTTCTGAGATTAATTGAATTTTATAGCCTGCATTGATGTTTTTGTGGTTTTTCAGTTGTTGTATTAAATTAGTTGTCCATTCTCTAGTTAATAAGCATTGAGATTATTTCTATTGTCCATTTAACTATAAATAAAATTTTTAAAAATATATTCAGTCTAACCAAATGTGAACACGAATGCCTTTATTTAAATCT